TGGAAGAATCCCATGCACTGCTACAGGCTGGGGACTGACTGGCTAAACAGCAGTTCTGCATAAAAGGACCTGTGGATTACAGTGGACGAGAAGCTGGATATGAGTTAACACTGTGCCCTTGTTGCCAAGAAGGCTAACTGCATATTGGACTGCATTAGTAGGAGCATTGCCAGCAGATCGAGGGAACTGATTATTCCCCTCTATTGGGCACTGGTGAGGCCACATCTGGAGTATTGTGTCCAGTTTTGGGCCCCCCATTACAGAAAGGATATGGACAAATTGGAAAGAGTCAAGAGGAGGGCAACAAAAATGATTAGGAGGCTGGGACACATGATTTATGAGGAGAAGCTGAGGGAACTGGGCTTATTTAGTCTGCAGAAGAGAATGAGGGGAGATTTGATAGCAGCCTTCAACTACCTGAAGCGGAGTTCCAAAGAGGATGGAGCTAGGCTGTTCTCAATTGTGGGAGATGACAGAACAAGGAGCAATGGTCTCAAGTTGCAGTGGGGGAGGTCTAGGTGGATATTAGGAAAAACTATTTCACGAGGAGTGTGGTGAAGGACTGGAATGGGTTACCTAGGGAGGTGGTGGAATCTCTATCCGTAGAGGTTTTTATGGCCTGGCTTGACAAAGCCCTGGCTGGGATGATTTAGTTGAGGTTGGTTTTGCTTTGAGAAGAGGGTTGGACTAGATGACCTTCTGAGGTCTCTCCCAACCCTAATCGTCTATGATTCTACATGCAAATTACTATAATCAATTTGCTTGTACAATTATCTGTTGTTTTTTTCTTGGTTTTGTTTTTTAATTGAGTATGTTCGCAAATAGTATGTAAAATTTTGAAAGCATTTTGTGTGTGCAACTATATGTCTTTTTAAAAAAAAACCTAGACCTAATTAGCAGTTATATAGAAATTTACTTTTCTAAAGTATTGCAAACAGACAAATACTTGCACTGAAGACAACATATGGATGAAACTTCAAGAAAAGAAAAGGGTGCAGCTGGCTAACCTGTCATACATGGGAAGTAGATATTTTTCTCCAATTTTTTTTTTACTAAGAATTGACTTTGTTATAACACAATTCACATTGAAAATAAAAGCCATTAAATAACATTAAGGTTATGACACAGACTGACAAAAGGAAGGAAATTCATCGTTAAGGTGGAAGCATAACATATGGCCTTGTAGGCACAATGGGGCTGATTAAGAAAGCTGTTCAGGTGCTGCCCTGTTATGCCTAGCTATTGAAAAACATATGGTACTTTTCTCCATCACATGGGAATTTTTGTGCTTTCATCAGTTTGTGGTACACCCTTAATGTTCTTTTGAAACTATCTTGCGGAAGTGTTGTGGAGAGCCAATCTGCTTCCATCTGAAGTACAAAATACACCATGATGCTTTAGGACTCTATCAGAGCAATTAGAGCAGTTTATCACAGGGTAAGCCTGTGGTAAATCCAGACACATTTGCATTTAGGCAATTCAATCTCAGTGTAAATCTGTGATGCATTACAGCACTGTGATAGAATCTGGTTTTTGGCGTTAATCCAATCACAATAAAACTCTATGAGAAACCTCAATACATTGGGTTACTCCACTGAGTTTAATAGAGTTGACCTCTTGAACTGTTAAAACACAATAATAAAAATCTACTACATACAGTCCCATATCTCTTTAAATATGAAGCAGATCTTGGATGCCTATATGACTACACATTCTGGGAGTCACCAGATCCTGCTGTATAGTGTTTTCGGCAGCAGAAGGTGAATTTGCAAATGGTTAGATGTTCCTGCCAGATAAGCACCTAGACATTTTAAATGAATTTTAGGAGACCCTAAACATTTTGAGGTCTCCCCACCAAAGTTCTATGACCCTTCCCTCATACCTTACCTCCATAGGCCTAACCCGGATCAGAACATATTGGGGAAACTCCTTGGCCCTCTCTCCTGCTGGCAGAGGTATTAGTAGGGAGGCTTCACATTTTCTCCTTATCAGAGAATCTAGGGATCTCATTCCCATCAACAGGACTGTCCCATGTCCCCCCACCAAAAACTTGAGATTTCAGGAGGCTATTCCAGGGCTCCTCATACCAATTATTAAGATTCCTTGGAAAGGCAGGGGGAATTACAGTCCTTCTTCCTATCAGCCTCTATGGTTTTCCCCTCTCCCAGGGCAGATTTCTTTGGTGGAAGTTTAGGATCTTTGTGGCCCATCAAAAACAGGAATTTCCTAAACGAGACACTTCAACTTCCCATCTCCATTAAAAGCAACAGGAGTTTCCAGAGAGACGTTACTGTGGCCTTCACTACTAGTAGCATCAGGAGTTTCTGAGATACTGCAATCATTCTTCAGTGACAGTCTAACAGACTGGCATGCTAGGTTCCACATCTCCCAGTGCACAATGTTGTTCACTTTGGGGCTTCACACTTGACTTTCTCCGATGTGTTATGCATTCTGGGATGCCACCGGAGAAGACAACAGCAGGGCAAGGGAATGTTTGTGATACAGAAAGAAAGAGACCCCCCCCCAGCCTTAGAATATGGCAATGAAAGCAACAAACAAATGAAACAGGTCTGAGATATATAATGGTGCATCTTGAACATTGGGCAAAGTTTCAGGACAGTTTTTATTTAGGCTGAGCTAATTTGCCTATATTTGATACTTTCAAAATAACAGCTGATTCAAACAGTATTTTCTTAAGTTAGTCATAAAAAGGCCAAATAAATTTCTATAGTTTTAAAAGATAAACCACCTCCTGACAGAGAACCAGCATATCTAATTTCAAACACCAAATTATTTGCTTGCTAAAGTTACTAATCTTTGAAAACAGAGATGTAAATGGAAGTGTTAACACAATCTAACCCTAACTATAATATCATTTTGGAATCATTACAAATCAGCTATTCTGTTTTAAACAGGAGATTGGCAATTATCCCCTGGTACCTGATTCATACCACATGTCTGTACCTAGAAGTGATATGGGAGGGCTTCTGCTTTTATTACATGACTATTGTTTTCTCTTTTGGAGCAGTAATATTAAAATATGTCTAACAGGAAGGTAAAATGAGAGGCAGGCTCAACAGAAAAGAGCAAAAAGTTAGCGTTCATTAGACCAAAACCTGAAGAGCAGCACAAAGGTTCCCATTGGAAGGTATAAAAAAGAAGGGAAAAAAGAAACATTTCTATTTATACAGGCGCACAGTAGAAAGTACCAGTGTGGCATGAGTATTATGAAGAAATATCCTGCACAAGAATTGATATAACCAGAACATTATAGATCATGCAGCAATACAATGTGGAGATAAATCTGTTTCATGCATATTCTTTGCTACCCAAGCTATGGCTGAATTCTTGTACAGGAAATGAACACAGTACCATAAAAGGCAGAAGCTGAAAACTCCCTGTGAGCAAAGACAGTCGAGGCACTGGAACCCTTAAATTACCCATTTCTAACCTCATTTGCTATCACCTACTGATGTCTCTTTGTGATACAAAAAAAGTCTACTCTTTGTTCTGCTAAAGAGATTCTCAGCGACACCTCTTCAGTCTATTGATAGTGGGTCCTCATGCAAACCTTTCCCCCCATTACCACTTTCACTGCAGCCTCACTGATGAGGAGGCTTTCTCTGAGACAGTATGGGGGGAAAAAGTTGGCCACTTCAAGGACTGACCTCCTCTCCACCCCCCATGGGCACCCCGCCTTCTTGTGGGCCTGAGAAGGTGTGCTCCTTGGCTGATTGGCTAGACAGAGGAGTATAGCGTAAGCCTATTTGCTCCTGTGCACCCACTGGGAGGTCTTACAGGCCTGTCCCCCTGCCTGAGATGCCATCCTGTGCCTTGGAGGAAATATCTCCCTCACTTGGGAATAGAGTAGGACTGGCTTTTGTAGCCTTGCTATTTGGCATTATCTAGTCACCTTTCTGCACTGGAAAGGAGTATTTCCTTCACTGCCAGATTGGTCTGGGCAGGATGTTTTGGTTTTATTTTTTGTTTGGTTGGGCTTTTTTATTGTTTTGTTTTGCCATCTTTTCTCCTCTCAGTCACCCAGGGACCTGGCAGATAGGTTAGGTTGTAAAATTAATGTCACAACTTGGCAGATGCCCATCATAGTTAATTGTTCAATAGGGTCTGGTTCCCCTGATAAATCAGAATTGGAAGCAGATTACGCATCTCCTAAAAAAGGTGGGGAACAGGGTTAGGGTTTCTAATGTCCGATACAGCAAGGAGACAACCTCTTTTCCCTATACCCTTAACTCTTGCATGAGGAGAGGGTAGTAGTGACCTGCAATGAGGACTGATATCAGCCCTCCCCCAGATTGCACAGATTACAGAAGGAAGGATGACCTACACAGAGGAGTCCCAGATGTTTTACTTAATAAAGTTGCAGCCTAGTTAAACCACATTCACCGTGTTTTGTCTTTCTTCTTGAGATGTCCAGGACAATAAAACAAGGTAATTTTGGCATCAATTTAATGTGTATAAAAGCTATAAATAGTGAAGTAGCATGTAGTACTTGGTTTCTAATCTAAACTATCCAAAATAATGCTTCTCTAGCTACTCTCTTCTCCTTTTTTTTGCTTCTATCTGTTTCTACAGTGTGGCTGAAGGAAATTATGGATGTTTTGCAAACTTTCACAGAAATCAGTTGAAGAGACATACCCCAATATGTGTATAGGTATCTAGAGTGCATTTCAAAAATATCGTTGACGAACATTGTAAAGGTAAGGTGCTCTATTGTTTCACTCTTCAGTCAGGAAAGATGAAGGAGAAGGAAAAAAGGGACTTATGTGAAGTGGTCACAGGAAATATCTGCTATCATCTAACAAAAATAAAGAAAAAAGAAAGAAAAGAAAAAGAACCTATCCTTGTTTGAATCCACGCTGCTTGGCTGCAGCATGGGAAATCCTGGGATCGATAAGTAAAAAGAATGAAAAAGTACAAATGTTGATGTATCTACTGGGTATATGGTATTGGCTGAAATGTCTCCTAAATAGCTGACTGACCTGAGACATATGTGCATCATGGCTGGAACCCAGGTACTTGGCAGCAATGTCTGTGATGAAGTCAGCATCACAAATGGATGATATGTTCATGCTCAGGGGCTGTTTCCTATTTCTATAGACCTGTGGGAAAAAGCTATAATGATTAGGTGCCTGAGGTCAGAGCTATAGGGAACTTAGCTAAGAAGCAAGGGTTTTCCTTAATTTTCTGTTGCTGAGTGAATGAAAACCTATAGTATGCAATGTATGGTTCAGAATAAAGAATCATAACATTGTCTAACTACAGTATTAACATGGCATGCTCACCTGTGAAATGACCCACTGATTGATTACTTTGAGAGGCTGAAGGGAGTAGCATGACTTTGCCTTGTGATATTTTCCTGCTTCTCAGGTAACAATCACAAAACTCAATGATGACACTACCAAACAAAGGAAAACACCAAATACAACACTATCTACCAGTCACGGTCTGAAAACAGCCTTCTCATCTCTTTGCTCAGCATTACTAAAGGAGAGAAGGTGTTTGACAACATGCTCACATGACACACGACACAGATAGTTACTACTTAGGTTATCTGAGCATCCTTCCCTCACTGGCTTGCTATTGAGCCTACGGTACCTACAAGTGCTATGATGAAATCAGAGAGTAGTCCGCGTACAATGTGTGTTCACATTATTGAAATTAACCAGTGGAGATGTCCAAGATACTGTATGCTGCTTACTATGGTAATTTTCCTCATTTGTAAGGTAGAAAATAAAATGACATTTACAGAGTTTTTCATGTAGCAACATTTATTTCTAGAGCCTGTAACTAAGCACTCACCTGCTACAGTGTATTTATAATAACAAAGATAAAAGTATTTTTATTAATTTGGGGGTTTGTTTTAATCACAATTATGATTTCCAGATAACCTCTCAGAAAACATGGAACCTTCTGAACAAATAACTACTTACTACAAATGTACACATATCTAAACAGCTTCGAAGCGATGCATCTGCTCTTTGATGTCTTTTGTGATGACGAAGGTGGCAGCTTTTATGGAAGAGGGAAAACAGAAAGTGTGTTGGCTGCATATAACATGAGCCAAGCAAACATGCATCTAAATACGACAGCCATCAATTAAGTAATAATACAGCAACATTTACACTATTCTTACCCTACCTTGCACAGCTGCTGGTACAAGGTAGGCTTGGCTTGAAGACTTTCAGTATGAGGTTAGAATAAAACAGTGAAAATGAAAATACCAACAAGCTGCAGCCCCCAATAGAAGAGTAAAATGAATGTTCTCCCACCTGCTGTTTTAACTGATGCACTAATCTGTCTTTCTCTCGTTTAAGAGCCATTACTTCCTCTTGAGTCTTCTTCTTCTTTGAAGCAGACAGTTCAAGCAAGGCAATGTTTGCATCTTTTTCACTGATTGCAGCAAGCAGTGCTTCCTGCCTGATAAAATAAAATAAAAAAATGCTATTGTTTCTCATTTAAATAAATCAGAAAACACTTAGGAATATTTCTTGTGATAGTTGAAAAATCATTTACACTTTGAATAGTCATCCAGTTGCAAATTGTGGCAGGTGTCATAAAATCATGAAAAGACTATGTGCCAACAAATTAAAAGAATGGGCTCTCTCTTGATCCAAATATTTCACATGCCATTTAGCTGAATACATGTATTACATTATATAATGCAATTTTTAGCAATGTTTCTTTGAATTCTGTCATGTTAGAAACAGTCTTGGACATATAGTTTTAAAACACACTTTGCTTAATCCAAGTAAGCTTGTCACTAAACATTCATATTAGAAATACCTAACAAGAAAGACTTAAATGCTACAAATTAAATATATTTTCCAATCAGTTCTTTAGCTCTGCCTCCTGGAGATTTAACCATACAAATAACAGGTCTCTGGACCTTCCTCTCATTTACTCAACATTTTCCTATTATTTATAAGCACCACACAATCTGTTTTTAAATTATCAGTGAGTACCATAATACAAGAGTAATTTCTGGCAAAAAGTGAAAATGATGAAACATGGACTTCATGGTTACTCCCTCTCTTTCTCTCTCTCCTCCTTCCTCTTAATCCATGCTTTGGAGCCATTTGCATGTGCCAACCATGGCATTAATTAAAATAATCCTGCAGTGGAGATGCAGGGAGTCAGGAAGGGTTGTGGAAGGGTCTTACTCCCCCTTACATTCCTAAGCATCCTTGAAGACAAGACAGCAATCTTTCCCTTAGTTTCTTAAATAATAAGAAGAATGTATTAGATTTGTGCAATGAGAGAAACAAAATATTCCAGCTCAGAAAAAACACATAGTATATAACAGATTTTAGAATAGAATATGTTATGGCCTATGCCTTCCTCCAGAAATACGTAAGCTCAATCATGAGAAAAAATAAACATGGATAAATGAGTCATAAATTAACCCTAAGCTCCGCCTGTTAATAGCTGTAAGAATATGGCTCATGAACTTCATACAAGGTAAGGTAAGAGGCTGAAAATTTTATAGTCTCCAAGCTTAGCAGCAAAAATGTCAAGGAAGCTATATCACTTTTATTTCAAAGTTTCTAATGTATTAATGTAAATATTTAGAGGACAATATTTCTGATGGAGCCAAAGAAAAACAACCCATATATTCTGTTCTCAAAGTTATGAGATATGGATTAATTTTAGATAAACAACTGCATTTTATACATAGACTTAAAATTCTCATTTATTATTCTGCCTGTTCATTATAATCAAAGTTTCTTTGTTTTTAATTCTATTTTTGATAAATGGTGCATAGAAGGATGCCATATTCTCCAACGGTCTTTGTTTAAGTACAAAGTGACATTAGAAAAGCTAGTTTTAAAATTATTATTTTTTATCACAAAGATATTATGCAAAAGCATTGTGTATCCAGATTTTTCAATAAGTTTTTAATGGGCTTATAATAATTATTATTATTTTAATGTGCTATTTGTGCATAAATAATGTATTTCTTTTAATATGCTTAATTCCCTTAGATGATCCTACACTTTAAATGCATTGGAACAGAAAAAACTGATTTGCAGCAGCTCATCTTCCCATCCTGGCCTAAATAGAGAATATACACACAAAAGTCCAAATTTTCCTTCTTCTTGGTGGTTGGCTTTATTGGTAACTCAAACAACATGAAAAAAAACCACCCTTCAGCCTCAGGTTTCTCCCTGCAAGACTTTCTTATTTCAGCTCCTACTTTCCTCAGAATGACACCAGGACTCCCTCAAGTAACTTTGCTGGAGATAACAAGAGCCATCCAACAGCAAGAACCAGCAATAAGCATTCTGCATCTTTAAAGGCACAGAAAAATATATTCTATTATTGTAGAATATATTCCCCTTCTAAAGTTAAATTGGACAAAATATGTGCTTACATGAAACCAGCTAAGCTTAATGATTTGATTGTTCAGTTGATAACAGACATTTTTATTACCATATATAAAAAACGGTTACTCACCCTTTTTGTAACTGTTGTTCTTCGAGATGTGTTGCTCATACCTATTCTAGTTAGGTATGTGCGCACGCCTCGTGCATGGCTGTCGGAAACTTTTCCCTAGCTGCTACCCGTCGGGCTGGCTGTGGAGCCCCCTGGATTGGAACCGGTATGGCGCTCTATATACGACCCTGCTGGCCTGACCCCCTTCAGTTCCTTCTTGCCGGCTATTCCGACAGAGGGGAAGGTGGGGGGGAATGGAATAGATATGAGCAACACATCTCGAAAGAACAACAGTTACAAAAAGGGTGAGTAACCGTTTTTTTCTTCTTCGAGTGCTTGCTCATATCAATTCCAGTTAGGTGACTTCCAAGCTGTACCTCGGAGGCGGGGTCAGAGTCAAGGTATTGCAGATCAAAGAACCACTCTGCTGAAGGCCACATCATTGTGAGATTGGTGGACAATGGCATAGTGCACCATAAAGGTGTGCACTGAAGACCACGTGGCAGCCCTGCAGATCTCCTGAAGAGGTACGTGGACCAGGAAGGCTGTCAACAAGGCTTGCGCCCTCGTGGAGTGAGACGTAATGGCAGGTGGAGGAACCTTCGCCAAGTCATACCAAGCGTGAATAAACGCCGTGATCCAGGATGAGATCCGCAGAAGGTTGAACACTTCCTGTTGGCCCGCATGGCGAACAGGTCGATTCGGGGAAATCCCCAACTGCGGAAGATTGAGTGAATGATGTCTGGATGAATCGACCACTCATGCGTAAGGAATCGTCTGCTCAGGCTGTCCGTCAGCACGTTCTGAATGCCCGGCAGGTATGAAGCTTGGAGAAGGATGGAGTGGGCTAGACAAAATTCCCACAGTAGGAGGGCTTCCTGACGGAGAGGAGATGATCGGGCTCCGGCTTGCTTGTTTATATAAAACATAGTCATGGTATTGTCTGTGAGCACCGCTACACACTGCCCCTGAAAGCGAGGCAGAAACACTTGGCACGCAAGGAGGACAGCCCTGAGCTCTTTGATGTTAATATGCAGAGCCAGTTCCTCTACTTGCCATAAGCCCTGAGTTGTCAGGCTTCTGAGTTGCACTCCCCAACCCAGTGCAGATGCATCTATTACCAGAATCAAGGTGGGCTGGGGAAGGTGGAAAGGGACCCTGGTGCTCACCATGCGGGAGTCGAGCCACCATCGTAGGGAATCGAGGGTATGCCTTGGAACGGTCAGCACCATGTCCAGACTGTCGCGGCGTGGGCTATACATGGATGCGAGCCACGCTTGCAGAGGCCTGAGTCGCAATCTGGCATGCTGCAGCACATAGGTGCAGGATGCAATGTGGCCCAGCAGCCTGAGGCACTGCCTCGCTGTGGTGGTGGGAAAACTGCAAAGGCTGCTAATTATCTGCAAGAGGGCAAGATGCCACACCTCTGGGAGGAATGCTCTCGCTTGATTGGCATCGAGAACTGCTCCGAAGAACTCTATTCTTTGAGTCGGGGTGAGGACGGATTTGCTGAAGTTGAGAATGATGCCTAAGTGTTCGAACGTGTCTCTGACCATTTGCACCTGCGATTCTACCTGCTAACAAGAGTGGCCTCAGAGGAGCCAGTCATCCAGGTAAGGGTAGACATGCACGTGATGGCCGTGAAGGAAGGCCGCCACGACCGCTGTGCATTTGGTGAAGACATGGGGAGCCATGCATAGACTGAATGGGAGAGCCGTGAATTGATAATGTACCTTGTTTACCACAAAGCAGTGAATAAAAAATGCATCATTCACAATTTTCTACCATAACAAAAACAAAAAATTAAGAGTCTGAATAAAATGAAAGAATGTAGATATAGTGCATAATCCTGGCTAGCAAAAAGAAGCATCACTTTAGTGCAAAGCTATGTTTAGTTGTAAATCAACACAATTTAATGGTTACCAATCACTGAGAATCCACCTCTTTCAGAAAATAAAGTACAAATGCAAAACAATTAAAATTGATTTTTTTTAAACCAAGGTTTCTTGCTTGCTCCTTTAAATCACAATTTAAATTGCTTTGTAATCAACCCACCTTGCCCAAGGAGCAACAGGCAAGAGGTGGCCCCCAGTTCAGCCCTTGACTCAGACGGGAGAAGCTCTTTGAACTTTTGAACCGCAGACCACGAGTTATAACTGTACCGGCTCAGAATCTCAAGCTGGTTAGCGATCCAGAGAAAAAGGCCCCCTGTTGATTCTCCCAAACAAATCAAGGCGTTCAGCGTCTCTTGATTTGGGCACGGGCCCCTGCTGACCCTGCCTCTCTTTTTCATTCACCACCTCCACAACAAAGGAACACAGAGGGGGGTGAGTGAAAAGATATTCATACCCTTTAGTAGGGACAAAGTACTTCCGTTCGGCCCCTTTGGCTGTAGGGGGAATGGAGGCAGGTGTTTGCCAAATAGTTTTGGCGTTAGACTGGTTAGTCTTTAGCATGGGTAAGGCCACCCTAGAGGGACCCTCTGGTGCCAGGCTGTTCACCACAGGGTCCTCGTCCTCTACCACCTCCTCCACCCGGAGGTTCATATTTAGGGCCACCCTTCAGAAGAGTTCCTGCAGGGCCCTGTAGTCCATAGGTGATGGACCGGATGTGGAGGTACCCGCCACCGCTTTGTCAGGAGGGGACGAGGAAGATGCCACCAGCAGGACTGGTTCTGTGACGGCCTCCGGATCCTCTGGGATGGGCTCCTCCCGAGCCCCGGGTGTAGCTTCCACCGGGAGTGAGGTTGGATCCGGGTTTTGTGAGGGATCCTGAGGCAGGCAGCTGATGGTTGCCTCGGGGAGGTGAGACCCTGAATGGGATGGTGGGGGAGCGCTGGGGCGGGGGAGCCACCTTGGGCCTGATGGTACGCCCAAGGTGTCCAGAATTGCCACTGGGGTTGCCAGTAGGGTGCTGAAGCGTCCTGTCTAAGACTTTCCGGCCCGGATCTGGGCGCTTCCAATGCCCCTGATGCTCTGCCTGAC